TTCTAGTACCAATCGTTCAAGCCTATTACCAGCATCAGAGAATATGTTAAGATAATTTACAATATCATTTAATGTAGATATTATTGTAGTTGGGCTTTGAAAATACTGTCTAATATTATCAACCTCTTGCTGAATTCTATGATTCTAAATCGTAGCTTGATTTTCGAGTAAAGATAATCTGTGTGATTCTGGTTGTTGAAAAAAAAAAACTATTTTATAGCAATTTATAAAGAAAATACCATAATAATTTTATTATATTTGCTAAATAGCTGTTTAATATGCTTGAAAAATATGTCCCTGCGTAACAACTACATTTTGCTAAAACGAAGTAAATCGCAATAAATCGCTTTGTAGTATATAAAATATACGCTCACGTTAGTGAAAAAAATTGACGTGCGCTATGTTCATTCCGCACGTAAGTTTTATTTCTGTGAACAAAAAAAATTTTCGAATGTGCACATCACCGCACATTATAATTATTATTTTACTAATAAAAATATCAGGTGATGTGCGCTAGGATTTAATATTTACCAGCGCCGATAGTATAAATAATATAGGAATAAAAGCATATTCCCAAAACTGAATGGGTAATTAGAAGGTTTAGTTACGTATTAAGTCAGCGTAACGATAATATCAATATAAAAAATTTAAATACGCATTAATTATTGTGACGGCTGATGCTGAAGTTTGGCTGATGTTGAAGCTAAAAAATCTGATTGGTTAGGGTTAGGGTGATCTGCAAAATTTAGCCAATCAGATTTTTTAGCTTCAACATCAGCCAAACTTCAGCATCAGCCGTAACAATTATTATATAGTGAACTAAGCACGCATTAATTTAGTGCGCAGAACGCACATAGTTTAAGTCTGAATTTTTTTCACTGGCCACGTCATAAAGTCAATCCTACAATTTCTATATTTAGCATGCGAACCTGTAACAATTATGGTAAGTTCAAAAACGAATAAATAAATAGAGATTTATAAAATTATAAATGTCTTTTTATGTTAAATCCATAAATATACTTTAGAAATACATAATTTACTTAATATACAAGTAAACCAACTAATCTTCATTAAATATACTACAATTCTTAGTAATCATCCGTTAATCCGGCAGGTGAACAGAAAAATCCGGCCATTAAAACCAAATAAGATAAAACTAAAATTGATCCTTTGAAATAATTTGATTTTCCTTCAATATATGTGTAAGATAATAAAAATACTGACAATACAACTGAAAATACGTCCCATCTCGGAAATACTAAGCTGAATTATACGAATAAAAATATTATTATTATAAATGTTCATAATAGAAATCAAGTATAGCTGCGGGAAAAATAACTTACGTAAATGAATGATTCACTTGGTTTTCAATTTTTCTATCGCGATTATAAATTTCTGAAAATAAAACCATTGCTGGAATTTGTAGTAAACAAACTTGTAATGCATATGCAGATCCAATTTCCATACTATAATTCAAAATAATAAATGAATAACTATTAAAATATTCGGTATTATTTAATATATTTAAGGTAACTAACATACCTAAGTGCGATATTTCCATTTATTGCAAATCCCATTGCGTTCACAAACTCTGTAAATGTTGGAACTATTGCAAATAATGTTAACCCCAGAAGCTTTTTATCTGAGGATGCAGATAAAACTTCAACATTGCTTATTAACATTTCTAAATTATTCAATTTAATAAATTTAATAAAATTAACATAGGTTTCAAATAGGTTAAAATATTTGTAATTATCCGACAACACTTATGATCATGAATTTATTTCTATCTGTTATTTTTTTCATGTGTTACGAAATATTCACGTTTACTCGGATTAAAACTCAGCTGACGACTCCCTACCAATACCAATCATAATCATAAATTGTCGGATAACACCATTATTCGGCAAATTTTGAATAACAGAAATTTGGCTCAACCGGGCAAATGATTGGCTGACACGTTAAAACATAGTTAGGGTAATATATGAAGATCATTAATTTCGGATTTTTTATAGGCCATATATCAAATATTAAATTAAATTTACATTTATTATCACAAGTATCTAACGAAAGTGTATATAATTTTTTTAACTTGAAGCACTCAACTAGCTCTACATGGTAATAGAGCTATTTTTTAAGCGAGTCTTTAAAATAAATTGGTAAAAATTAATTAAATAATTAATATTTTAACATTTATATAATTTATATAATAATTGAATGATTTTTATAAACTGTTGAAAAAAGTAGCTCTATTACCATGTGGAACTAGTTGAGAGATTCAAGTTTACCGTATTGTCGCGAAATAACGGGCATGAGCGTTATTTAGAATAATGGCCCGAATTAAGCCTAATTTAGGTCGAAATTCATCATTTCACCCTTGCGCGTTATTTCGCGACAATACGGTAAAAAAAAAATTATATACACTTTCGTTAGACACTTGTGCCAATAAATGTAAATTTAGTTTATAATTATTTTTATAATCATTTAGTATATTATAAATCGTGATTAACGATAATATCGAAATTTAACCATTGATAAATCCTCTTCAAATGTTACCCTGACTATGTAACACCCTACTGACACGTGCCGCGAAGCGGCCCGTGTTCATTTGCCCGGTTGAACCGGAAAGTCTACGGACACGTACGTACCAATTGCACGTACCTGACTTTAGGGTAAGTATATTAGCACGTGACAGGTTTTTAGGTTTATAATAGGTACGTGCAAAATCACGTGAATTAGTACGTGTCCGTAGACCGTCCGCGGTTGAACCTAGAGGTGCAGACATATTGTCGTAATTAGGTCGTAACCTAATTACCTCAATAAAAATAATCTGTTTTAAAATAGGTCGTAACTAATTACGGCCACCTCTAGTTGAACCAAATTACCGTTATTCAAAAATTTTTGCCAAATAATGTATACTTAATAATAGGATTAATTTTACCTGCTATAAGCGTGTATAAAATTGTACATGTTAGCAACACAACTACACTCTTCGTTTTGCCCCAATTTGGTGAATCATGTCCGACTATTTCTTCGTCTGATTCATACGTAGTAGGTCTCAATTGTTGATTTTCTGCAAAAGATACTGCTGCTGCGATTGTATCCAAATGAATGTTGCGATCATTTAAAGGTGAATTATGATTAATATCTGTATTTGAGTCAGGTGCTGACGTGGGACGAGCTGAATGTGTAGTGCCAACTGGACTATCTTGTGTTGAATGGTGTGGCAGTAATTGCTGTAATATATGAAGGGGAACAAGTCGTCTGTAGATGGATTGTTCAGGTTCTGGCGTTTGATGGCTGGATTGCCACACTAAAGCAGCATGAGTGTTTAAGGTGAACCATAGACCAATGGCATATGACTGGTTAAAAGGTAAATAATTCAATTAATAAAAATTTATAACTTGAAAATTTCAAATTTAAATTTAAATTATAATTAAAAGATTACCAGGACCAAAATCGTTGAACAGAAATACATCAACGGCTTAACGTATTGACGATATAAAGGCGTTTCTATAGGATCGACTTGAATATGCTGGCAAACTTGACAATAGGATGCCTGAATATCCACACAGGTTACATTTTTGCAAGTCATTCGATACTAAAACATTACGTAAAGAGTTTTAATAAATGACAAAGAAAAACATATTGTTTAACTTGAAAAAAAAATAACAGATATAAACCGGAGCAAAAGTCTGATAAAATAGTGTAGGTGTAAGAGCTCCAATAATCGCCATAATAAGCATTGTTGAGGTTACACCTGGATAATAGAGAGAATAAATCATAATATATCTTTTAAAAAAAAAAACAGTTGGCAATTTATATAAATGACCTTACCTGCGCTCTTAGCATTAAATTTTTGCTCTTTGCGTTTTAATCCTCCACTAATCATACTAAAACCAGGCAGAAGGAGTACACCACACAATAAACTCCCAATAATACTGCCTTCAGCAAGTTTACCTTCTCCTAGAGTCAATGCAATTGAATATAAAATGATTTCTATAATACTACCAAAAGTGGCATTGACTACAGCACCAAGACCAGCTGAGGATTGTGCAGAAATAGAAGCTACTGCCATCCCAATAAAATAAGAAAGAGGTACTACAGAAACGAGAGAAATTGCGAAGATAAAACCTTTTGAGGTTACGATATGGTTCTCTGGATCAGATACAATTTCGCTAATTATATAATTATCGATTATTGCAAATATAACAATGGGCAAGAGATTAATAAATATAATGTTAACACCATCATATGTATACTTATAATACAGGCCAATTGCCTTATATGTACACAATAAAATCGAGGATCGGTTGGAGGATGTAGACACAGATGACCCAGATTTAAAATGTATGGAAAGTGGGTGCTTTCGTAATTGTCTTGAAACTACATAGGTGAGCTTTGCCATTGGAATGGCAATAACGGAGAACCAGCATAAAGCGGAAACAATAAAGAATAGAGGACCTATAATTAAAAATGATCAAAATGAATTATAAATATTAATAAAAAAAAAAAAAAAACTATTCGTTAATAATTACGTATCCAGTATTATACCCACCAATAATTAAAAAGTAACAAGAATAAAAAACGAATTCTGCTAGCCCAATTCCACAACAATTACGTTTCTCGCGTTCAAGCCGTCGAATATATCCGGAGCTTGTCCTACGTCCCAACAGTGGGTTATTACTTTCAATATCTATTCCATTACCATGACCATTACCATTAGCCATTACTGAATCACTACCATGGTGATTCATACTAACGCTGTGCTCATCATTTTCTTCAGACCATTCGTCAATTTTTTCAACGTATTTACCGAAAGGCCAAAATATGTAGTAACTTAATTCTCTTAAAACAAGCGCATATCTCTCGCCACCACATGGTGTTATAGACAAAAACAATGAAACTATAAATGAAACAAGTGCTAACTCCCACCCAAACAATATGGCCCATAGTATATTTCCGGGATACAGATATAATTCCGTCGTTGGTGTCGAATGTAAGGCGGAATTAGCATCTCGGATTACGGATCGAGATTTTTTATATAAGGCGGACTTCCATATTGGCATACCGAATGGATGCATAGTATTGATTACCTAATATATATTACGTATTTTAGAATTGCGATGAATATATGTATTTAATGTTCATAACTAATTTATGATCCAAGATAGTAGTAAATCTAAATTTCTTACCTCTTGTCTGTCCTTGATCGTAAATTCACGATCACTCTCAGAATCATTTTGATCATTGTTTCCATCGTCGTTACCAGTATCCTCTTCGTTATTATTGTCTATGATATCCTCCGATTTCCTTCTATACGATAACCTTTTTTTTAAGCCCTTTCTCTTAACCCGTTTTTTAGAATTCTTAGAATCATCGGAATACTCGTCAGAATCGTCGGATTCTTCAGAAGGTATAAATGAAGATTTGCGCCTGCTTAATTTTGGAGGTGAGCTTGCACTAGCATTAGAAGAAGTTGGACGAGATCGATATGGACGATGACTGGCACCTGGTGTTTCCGGAATCGATCCCCGTGCTGAGGGTGTAAGTCGTTGGTCTCCACTCTGTTCATGAAATGGAAAGCCAGGTTCACTTTGCCTGACGGTTGTAGATTCTCTTGGATTAGGTGACTGATTTTCTTGCGACATTTAGAGTCATTTAAGGGATGAACAAGTTTTTTACGTCAGTTTTTTACGTCAGTTTAATTGCATCGATCAGTTACACAGATAACGCCAAGGCTATCTGCATCATGTGAGTTCCAAATTAAAAAACCAGTTAACCAGTACTCCAAAATTATCAGAATAGGAATGAACCACAATCAAAAGACTAAAATAAATAAAATTTTGGACCAAAATAAAAAACCTTTTCACTTGAAGAATTTTAGCTTGAAGAATTTCAACTCGGAAAACAGAAGTTTTAATGGTTTTGTATATAGTCTTTTTTTTTTTAATTATTATATTATACATATACCGTAAAAGTCCGAAATAACGGGCATGGGCGTTATTTCGAAAATTGAACGCCTAAAATGGCGTATTTGTTTCTATGGGCGTCCCGAAATAACGCGTATCACATACATTATTGTATATAGTAGTAAATAGCGATAGCCTCAGAAATTGGCCTTTTATCTCGAAATAATGTATAGGGACGTATTCGAAATAACATGTTAGTAGTCATAATAATTCAGTTCTCCGATTGCAATTACTTCCCAAAAACTTTTGCTACCTCAATATTTTTCATTTCTCGTCATGCTTTATTCATGCTGTCTTCGTTAAAATGAAATCTTTAACTAATGCAATAAAATTAACACGAATAGAGAAACAAAATAGTAAACATTCATGAACTCGATTTTCCTATCTTAAACATTGATAAATTAAATTAATTCAGCGCGAATAAATAGCAAATATTTTAAATACAGTAGTTGAAAATGAAATTAAGGCCGTTCAAAGTTGATTAGTCGGTTAACATCAATATTCTTTGTTTGTATGATAGGGTTGAAGGCTGGAAAATCATCATATCGATATGCTCCCAATTAGTTTCACAGTTTCACATGTTTTTAATATCTTTCCCGATCGGGTTAATTCGGACAAAAATAAACCCGGGTATATGTACCTTTATCGATTCGATAATGATAAACTATTGATAAAAGATGATTTTAACCCGATCGGAAACGATTTTCAAGGCAAAAACCCCCAATTTTATTTAGATAATCAATCAACGATTGGTTGGTTAAAAATTTTTTTCAATCGATCAAAAATATCGAGATCGGGTGTAACGTAACACGATCAGGAAAACATATCATAAGAAACCGATTTTCATGCTCTAACAAAAAAAAAAAGTTTTCTTTGGGCAATTTTACTATTAAAGTACCTAACGTTTAGCTAACCCCAACAGATTTTAAAGAATTTTTTTCTAACGTCACGTGACAATAGAATATGGGAGACCAATGGGGCTCCAAATTCCAGTCACCAACACAGATCCATGAGTATCTGCAAAACTCATCGGAATGTCGAGAATTATTTCGAGCCTGGGACTTGCAGATAGAAGTCATTATTTAATTAATAATCTTATTTTAATATCTAGAAAAAATGATCTAATAATATACTTCTTTTACAGAAAAATATTGCAAAACCTGAGGTCCCTATACTAGATGTGTTTGCCAAAATTATTCAATATACTACAAATACACCTTCATTAAGATCCACTGGGACGATAATAATTCGTAATATTTTAAGAAATTATATGAAACCAATTATTCGAAATTTATCATCTGATCAATACCCTTTGTGTCAAGCGACTTTGAGATTATTGATAGTGATAAATTCTCATGATATCACAACAACAAGAGAATTGCAGGAATCTTTTCCTTATGGTCTCAAGGTACTTTCATTTTGGAAAAGCTTTCAGTAAATGTTATGTAAATAATTTTTTTTACGAAATTTAGACGCTCGGTAAATTATTGAACATAAGAAAAAACGATTCAAATGACCAAAAATCACGTCCAAAAGATGGTAGGCACTATGTTTCTTCATTGTTATATTGCATTAATTTTATACTAAGTCATGGATCCCCTTTTTATATAGATATTCGTACTCTATATATTCGTTTTATTTTGACATTCTTAACACATGGAGATTCTAAAGTGAGATCTTGTGTTTTGGAAACAAAAAATTTTGCAAATGCAATATTCAAAGGGTTATCTGGCGATCCGTATGAGGTAAAAAAAAAATTTAATCAAAGATAGTTTTATAATGATCATTATAAAGTTTTCATTATTTATTACTAGTTTGTGGATGAGGTGTTGAAAACATTCCATGATTTCGTCATAGTTGACAATCAAATCAGTCGAAAAACAAAAGCATCTTTTTTCAATACTGGGGTGTTAAATCATGTAAATAGACAGTATCCAACGTAACATATAGATTATTTTAGCATAATTTATCAAATAATAATGATCAAAAAAAAATGCTAGCTTTTACGGCTTTATTCTAGAAGCGATTTTGAACCACCAGAATCTGACAAGGTCGTCGCAGACGTTGTTCACAAATTTCTGTTATCAATTTGCTGTGTGCCAGGAGTAGGAATCTGCTTCCGTGATGCAGGATGGTATTCATGTAGTTCACAGAATTCTATAAATGGCACTGGCAAATCTAAAGATGGTGACAAAGTTAAATTGCATAATATTATATTGTCTTCCTTTATTAAATCTTTGAAGCCAACTCAAGATTTAAAGCAGCAAGAATTGTTGTTGAAAATTTTGGAAGCATGCCCAGAGTTAATTCATATGTAAGTGTAATTGACAATAATTATCCTTTTTTGAAAAGCTAGACTAGCTAGACTAATTATTACTTCCAATATTGTAGAATTTGGCAAGATAAAAATATTTCTTTTGATCCTCATCTCTCTTATAGATGGATTGCAAATATGACACTTCTTCATAAGATAATATCACTACCTGTTCCATTGCTTTATATTTCAGGTACAAATGTTTACTCTGAAATACCGCCTGAAGTTACTTCGGTAATGGATAATATACTTCCCCGAATTTTTGATCGATCGACCTTAAACAAATGCCTTAATCATCAAAGCCCATTAGTTAAGTACAAGACGATCATAACATTGTGTGCAATGTTTCAAA